CTAATAATAGCTCCAAAATATTCCCTGTCTGGTGATCATGAACTGGAACCAGAATTTTCAAAACACAAACATATTGCTGTAACGCTATCCAAGCTATATCATTTTTCCAAATGCTCTGCCATAAATTTCAGCTCGCATCAGCAACACAGAATATTGTTATACTCCTTTCAAACAACAATCAATTTCATGAGGAATTCTATAAGATTCATGCTAACATTATAGTCTTTTAATGCGGAATTATTCCAGAAATCTCGTTAATACAATAAATTAATACTGATTTCTCGGGTCTCCAATAACACGACAGAGCTTCTTGGATTTTTTTTTCCGAGACACCTCATAGAAAGAATATAGGCAATATTTTCACTCACAACTCCCATGAGCACACAGCACCACTAATGAAGACAAGGGGACAGCCCAGTGTATATCTTTTCTGCCTCTGAATGATATTTTTGGAAACTCTTTTTACTACATGTACCACTTGAGTAAAGGTGTTTCCTTGGAAAATTCTCTATTTATTATCACAAATTTAATTAATGACTTCCTACTTCAGCTAAATCCCTAAACACTTCACTTGGAGGAGGCTCTTGCTTCTAAAATGCAACATTTTCTGACATTCCAAAACACTGTTTGCTTGAAGACTTGGCTTTAATCAATACAGTACCAAACTGGATGGTGGTCAAACACACTTACTGTGTACATGCATGTTCCTACTTTAGCAGGGTTTAAGCACACAGTTTAATTCTTGCTTCCCTTTCCTGATGGTGTTAAATAGTCAATACTTTGGCACAGAAAACAATGATGTTTCTTTCCGACCCTCTCCTGCTCCCAGCTTGTTTGTATATACTATCAGGGAAAAAATGTCTACTCAATTCTCATCAGACCTATAATCAATATGTTTTAAAGCTCCCTCCAATCTAACAATACATTACTAATAAGATATTGAATATTTATTTCAAATGAACTCGGCTGGGTTAGAGCTCGATCTCCCCCATTCACTGATTAAAATTTCATCTGCTGAAAAAACATTAAACATTTCAGGCAAGGGGCATTCCCCTCTACTATGAGAGAAATAATCGGAATTATGTAACAATTCCCTTCCTGAACACAAAGATAGGAATCTCCTAGCACTCTGTTTAATAACTGCAATGAGTGACGACCATTAATATTTTTTTTCATTTTATATGCATGGATTCCTTGTCACCAGGATGTGAACATATACTTTAGCTAAGCTTTATAACGCACATGCTCACTACTGATAGCTGAACAGCAGCTGATGGCAGAATTCCTGTCAATAACAGAAAAAATCTTATTGATTTCCTATTTCAAGATGAGTGCCATCTCAAAGAGCTAAGGGGGATAACTTGTGTAATCTTACAATTTTCTTCTTTTTTTCCCACATGTTCAAACCTTAATAAGTTTTAGCATATGGAAATAAAAATACAATACAATAAACATTTAATTATTTTTAATTTAATAATAAAATGCAGTCTTCTTGTTTTATGGAAATATGATTCACATGAGATTTTACTTCCTACATAAAACTTCAAAGCTTTGTTATGACCCCATACTCAGATATCTTGGGTCATCACTAAAACAATTTGAATATACGACTAGATTATCTGAGGATCCCTCAAAACAATTTGATAAATTGTAGCTTCTTTTTTTCCTAAAAGTTTTTATACATACAGTAAAACTTGTCTGATGTTGTGAATTCTAAAATATTGTCTATCACAATGTAAATTTTAGTCCCTTTTCATTAAAATTAATTGTTTAAAATGTTGTCTAATCCGGAATATTGTCTAAATCTGGCCAATTTCTATGGAACCAGTGGACAAGTTGCACTGTACTGTTGTGGTGCTGTGTAAGATCAATGTATACTTATAAAAAAAAAAAAAAAAACTTTTACAAAAACTAAAATCCTTCAAAACATTACAATAATTTGTCTCCATTTTGTTACTTGTCATTTTCAATATAGAAAAATCATTGAACTATCTTAAATTCTGTTTAATTAAGCAAAAGTTCGGTTGAAAGTAGACATGGAGGTCTAGAGAAGAACTTTACTGAAAAAGTAAATCAAAAAAAGTTTACATGCAATGATAACAGACTATTGCTAAACTCAATATGATCAATTAAAAGTAATTAGTGCCTTTGGCTCAGATATGTGAAAAACAATTTATTACAAAGTAACAATATTAAAACATGGCATAAAAAATAGATTATTTAAGTTGGCTGTGTAGAACAAAACAGTGCCTCATCTAAATGAAGCATGAAGCAACTATTTACAGAATTCACAACTATATGGTAAGCCAGACATAAGACAGATTCTATTATCAACATTCTATGCTTCTGATGATAAAATAACCTGTTTTTACAATGGTCTAGTGCAATCCTGTATCATAACAAGCACGTAAATAAACTAAAACGCCCCAAGGGTCAATTTTGTTGGCTGCATTTTAACTAACCAACAATCACGCTAAATCAACATAATATTTCCTCGTAAAGAAAAGGAAAATAGGTCTGATATTTGTAGAGTGATGACAGCCATTACCTACCTACTACTCACAAGTAACATGAATCCTTGTGTAATTAATAACACAAAAGAAAATCAGAAAAGTCTGATCTCTTGCTTTGAAATAAAATGCATTTATGAGCCAACATTCTCTAAAACTTTTATTCATAACATTTTCAAACTTATTATGTAATAAGTGTTTGAAGAAAGACAAAGTTCATAACAATGGCAAATCTTCCTTCTTACATTTAACAGAAAGGGTTAAAAGATATAACATTCCAGGGAACAAAATTGACCAAAACAGTGAAAAAAGATTTATATTTTCACTTTATTAATACATGTACAGCAAAATTCTATATTTTGCAAAGTGCAGTGCCCAATCTATGTGTATAATTTCAACAAAGCTCAAATTATTAAACATTTTTGCTTAATTAATACTTGAAGCAGTTAAAAAAAACAACATAGGGTTCACCTTGTTCACAAAACAAAAGGAATTTCACAAAACAGTTGGCTGCTTTTTCTGGACAGAGTACTGAACACAATTCTAACTTATCCTACTGAATATCATTTGGTATTTCTCTGTCCATGTCCCAAGATTAAAGATTGGGGGCATATTTTTTTGTTCCATCTAAAAATCTGTCATTCTGTCAATCTGCATTTCTCATAAACTTTCACCTTCTTAAGCCAAAGAAGTTAGAAACTTCATATCATCAAAAGATATAAATGAGAGCTTTAATGTCCAGCAATCATCTTTTCTCTAAGTCTGTATGTCCATCTATCTTTCCATCCATCTGTCTGTGCAATCTTGTCCAATCCATAACTTTGTAATGGAGAGACATTGTAAGCTCATTCTTGACATTAAGATTGCATATGACTTGAAAAACTCAAGATCATTTGGGTTAGTAAAAGATCACTGGCAAAAATAACTTTCTAATGAAGAAACATTGAAAGTTCATACTTCACACGAAGATTGCTTACACCTGGTCCCTTCTGTCAAGCGATCTTATGTATAAACTCCACAACTGACTACTCATAGATGATCGCAGAACTTCTCCATTTTCAGATTTAGATACAAGGTGATGCAATACGTTTTTATAAAATTTGTTGCTCTTTGATGGAATATGGTCAGGAATGTACAATTTCAAGTGACACAATCTGTCACCATCACATCACCATTCAGATTCAATCACATACATTCTGATAAAATTGTCCTCACGAGTCTATGACTGGATCTCGATTGGACACAATTATTACAATACAGAGCCCTGTTTTTCTCATGAGCCCAGGCTGCATTAGGACCTTGACACATTGTCATTTGGGAAAGTTCAATGTCAGTGGTATAATCCGAGTCTGTTAATAATTAGAAATAGCCACTCTTGGGGCATTTGTGTTTATCAAACATATCTTGTTTTGTATCATGTTTTTGTTTTATGTAAAGACTATACAAAATTTTTATTTCAGTGATACAATAAACTTTTCCAAAAAAAAATCAGTCTTTCTTTAAAGGCAATCATATTTGAATATATAAAATCCAAACTGAGTATAAAGAGATAGAAAGATTTTTCTATAAATTCTACAAAGAAAAGTTTCCCCATGAAAATATATTTGTGTCAATGGTGATACCTGTTCATCCTTATTAAACAGACTCCATGTCAAGAAATTAATATTTGTTTCATGTTTTTACCTACGACTCGTGATATTTCATGTATTACTAACCTAATGTTTCTTTTCTTTTTTAATTCAATACATGTATGCATTCTACAATCTTGTAAATTCAAGATAGCTAGATGTTAGATGAGTCATAACAGAATAGATTTTCAAATAATTAATGCATTCTTCACTATGATCAACAGAGCCTCACCCTGACATCAGAACCTGACCCAGGGGCCATGAATGTCATAATTTAAGTAGAGGAACCCTTTCTAATCATAACTATGCACTTTGTTTGTCTGCTAAATTTACAGAGGGAGAGAAGATTTTTAAAGAATAAATGCATTTTCATTGTATTTTCATTGTATGATCAATAGAGCCCCACCCTAACACCAGGACCCCTGACCCAGAGGCCAGAAATTTCACAATTTTGGAAGAGGCACCCTTGTTTATCATAACTATGCTTTTAGTTTGCCTGCTAAACATACAGGGGTAGAGAAGATTTTAAAGAATTTATGGTTTTTCACTATAAGATTAATAGAGCCCTACCCTTTCACCAGATCCCCTGACCCTGGAGAATTGAATTTCATAATTTTGATAGAGGGCTTTATGCTTATTATTATCATGCCAACAGTTTGGCTGCTTGACATCCAGGACTAAAGAAGAAGATTTTTGAATAGTGCTTTTTTTATGATTTTTAGCCCCACCCCTAAGGTCCCAGGAAGACAGAGACCATGAAATTCACAATTTATGTTCCCCTTTCCCATAGATGCTATATATCAAAACTGATTCAGCGGTTCATGAGAAGCTGAAAGTGTTCAAAAGTTTACGTTCTACTGACCTGGCTGCGATTCCTCCTGGCTGGATGTCCTGGACAAAGATCCCTGTCTCTTCATTATTCTCTCCCTTCAGTCCCACTACACTGAACCCCAGGCTGGTATTCTCTGGTTTGAACAGCTTAATGGTTTCAATCTCCCTCCCCTTGGCTACCCGCTCTATAGTCTTCTGAAACTCAGCATCGTATCCCGGTGTTGTAGCAATGGCTCCCAGATTCTCTTCACTTGAGAATCCTGCAGCACTGTCTGATAATGCCTGATTGATTGGTACGCCATCTGGTGGCATGTTGAGAATCAACTGTCCAGAATAAGTGATCTCAAAATTTTCATCTGTAACTGGGTATGTCTGGGCAACCTTAAATATCACATGGTAGAAATGTCATTAATATCTCATTATTATTTTTTTTGAGGAGACATATATTTCAGATCATCAAACAAGTAAGAGTACCACAAAAGACTAATAGCTAATATCATGATAAAATACATTATATATATACATATTATTATATGATTGAATAATTCCCATCTCTCTGATTGGCTGAGATCCAACAATGTTAGAAAAATACTACATTACACTGACCTGCACTTGACCTTCCAGGTCAATACAAGGAATTATTTATTCTACAATCTACATTGGACCGAAAATTAGGAATTCCAAATTGATGCAAATAGTTTTGGAAAGTTATTTCACTTGCACCTGACTTCCACTCATATGAACATAACATTAAGGCACATATATTCTTTGGTGAGGGGTGGGGGTGGGGGGTTACAGGAGGCCTGTCCTTCTCCCTACCTTTTGAGAATGTAAAGTTTTAATTTAAATTTTAAGGATAAAAAATTTCAATGAAAGCCCCCCTTCCCTTGTTTATGGACCTTTACATCCAACTAAATAAAATTTTGAGTTGGGAGAATTATTTTCCTTTTGGGAGGGGGGGGGGGGGGGGGCTAGTCAAAGATTTGTTTTCAGGTAAGTTGTCTTTTTTTTTCCTTTTAATGCCCCCTTTTTCAAAATCAATCCCGTCTGGCTCGGTGAATATTGTACTCCTCAGGTGTCTAAATCATCGTATTGACCTCAAAAACCAGCAATAATTGTATAATATACACTTATTAGGATATCACTCAAGTTTCATCATACAAAGGAATTGAGAACAGTGAGTCATCTGCAATAGGCTTAACATTTTTTTCATATTGATTGCTTAGCACAAAAAACAATATTAGAAAATTGAAAATGGGTTTTAAGCAGATCATTCTATTTTCTACATTCCTTAAAAGCAACTATGGACTCATATACTTAACTTCTACCATTTCAATTATTTTTTTTTAATTGTTAAGGTCAGGTAAAAATAGAGATGTAATACAATAATATTCTTGTATATCTCTAGTCCTTCCAATTAAATCTAACTTGACCTTTTGGGACCTTGGCTCCATTGCCTCTACAGTGGAATTCAGAAAATATCCATTACACAGCAAATCTGTATTCCATAAGAGGGTAGAGTACTCAAATTCAGAGGGTATCACAGCGAGGGAGGTAAACATAAGCTGCATTTATAGCTGGAGAAGAACATATGATTACATTATGATTTTTTTTCATACCTGTTTAAGTTCCTGTAAAGACTCTTGCAGATTAAGAATCTGTCGAAATAGGGGACTCTCCATCATGGCTAACAGGGAGGTCATGTCATCATCCAAACTGTGATCCCCCTGGTCCCAGAGTCGGGCCTGCAGGTGCTCCACATACTCCACTGCCTGCTCTGTACCTAAAATTACACATACCCATAACTCTTTACTCTCAACTTTAAAGTCTTAATCATACAGCTCTCTATATTAATAATATTGAAAATCAAATGTATTAATCTTTACAATCATCAAATTCCTTACATAGTTTACTAGGATATATTCCTGTAACCTTAAATTTTAGTTACTTACTTTCGATGAGCGACATTATTTCTGCTCAGTTGTTTGATGACAGTTCAATATTCTGTAATACAAGAAGTGTGCATATTAAAAGACTTGATTTATGATCTGGTGATTTATGATGCATCACATCTGCACACTTTCATTCAGCGTTTCCTTGCAATATTTTTTTTATAATCGTTACTCATCTGATTCCTGAAGTATGCACATTTAATGTGCATACTACGGGAATCAGATGAGTAACATTATACACTGATACACTAATAAAAACATGAGAAAATTTCTTCAAAGAAACTTGTAGCACAAAAGTTGGGCTTTAAGTTCTACAAAAGCACTCCCTAGCACTTTTTTTCCAATATTATCTGATGGCAATTATTAGAGATACAGATGAACTCCAGTATGTTGGTATTGCAGACACTACCCTCTGTACCACCTTGAACAAGAATGTTGCAGTTTCTTTCTCTGTTCCTGGAGTGTCTGGAGATCTAGGCCTGCTAACATCTTAATCTTTATTGGCTTTAGTTTATGGATCCCATATAATGGCGCCATACAAGGTCGACCATACTAACGAGAAGTAAGTGTTTTTCTGGCATTGGGTAGAACAGTGGTGTAGGTTGCAGTGCAAGAAGCTTAAGGTAGTGTTAGCCTTGCTGCATATGCTGTTTATAATTATGAGTACTGCATTTGAGATCACTCGAAATGATAAGAATGTATTTGTGGCACAGACTGAATTATACGCTTGCCATAATCTCATACTTTTTAAACAAAACCACTTTTCTGGTGGTTAACATGCGTAGTTTCAAGTCGAGACAAGGGAAAGACCCCGCCCAGTAAAAAACAGCAAGGGTTGGGAAATGAAAATAGCTGAACAGGGAGTTAACATTAGCCAAGGTTCGTTACCTATACCCATTCACATCAAACATCGTCGTGATAAGTATTGCACAAAGAAAGACAAAAGCGTAATACTTATTTGTACAACAATTACTTGTACATACCATCAATGATCAGAAATATTTCGAAAAAAATATAAAAATTCCTCGGGGGACATCTAATAGCGGAAGTTGTCAAATTTGAAGCTGGTAAATGTTGGAAATATTTGTGCCGGTTCCGGAGATCAAGTAAAGAAAGGTTATAGATCTAATTTATCTTGGGTTGTCATTATTTTTTATGAAGATTATATTTAATTAATTAATGTTTAAGATTATTTTAATATAATAATTAGTTATCATTTAATATCAATATTTTCCAAAGAATAATTGGATACCTAACTTTACACAACACGGAAGTAATTTACAAACTGGTCAAGACGTGATCCGGATAGGACCTGGATCTTTCTGTGTTGCCCCTTTCATGGGTTTGTCTAATTTTGTTTTTTAAAAAATCACATTCATTACAATTTTTCTTCTGTTTCTCCATGTCTAATTAGCTACTACCACAGGTCTGTATAAGTGAAAAGGGGGGGGGGGGGGTCAACGAACAAATAGCCATGTGTCTGAACCTTAAAACTGTGAAATCACTAATTTTCATGAGGTTTTCATGGTACAAAGTTTCAACAAAGAGATGTGCATATTAATTCATGTCTAAAAAATATAATTAAGTAAATTTCCAAATCACTGTTAGTGCGATGTCCATCTGCACTTCTTCAATTCTTTGAAATGAAATCCCTACAAATTAGTTTAAATAATATTTTTTCTCAAACAGAAAAAATTGATCACTTGGAAGTAAACTGATTTTATAATACTTAAGTTAACATTTAACTCAATATTAAAGTTGATAGGACTGATCGAGAAAGAACTTTGGGTTCTGAGATAATTTGAGAGTAAAATTCATAGAGAAAATGGTTTTTTTTTTGTTTGTTGTTTAACATCTCTCGAGAGAAATTTTCATTCATTATATGGAGACGCCACTACTTGCCAGTGGAGGGCTGCAAATTTTGACCTATACTCAGCACTCAGGGCCATTGAGCAGTGAGGGATCTTTTTCATGCCAACATTCTACTGCGACATGGGACCTCAGTTTATATATGGTCTCATCCGAAGAACTGTGGATCTCCACATCCCACAGTGGGATTCGAACCCACAACGTAAGGATCAACTCCTTACTTCGGGACTCTAGAGCAGATGCTCTTCCACTGTGCCACGCAGGCGACTAGAGAAAATGTAGTTGGTACATGTACTTCCATCTCGCTTCAAAATAACATGGTTTGTCATTCATGGGTCAAAATTTCTCCTCAATGCAAAATGTGTAAGACATTTTTGATGCACAGTTTAGGAATGCCCAGTGCAAGGCTAAATTTTGCTATGAAGACTTTCTCATAGAATTTTTTTTTATCTTAAATTGTAGATCACCAAATTTTTGCTAGAAAGGTGTTTGTTATTTATAATAAGCAAGACAAAATTTTCATAAATTTCAGTTATTATTCTATATAATCTTTAATAATACATGTACAATTAAATACGAGAATAAAATTCTAGCAAATAGACAGTCTCAAGTATTTATGCAAAAATAAAGTTCTCACAAACAAAAAGTGATTTACAAATAGTATATGAAATGGACAGCTAAAGAGACTTTTATTAAATTTGTAGTACATGTACACCAGAGCTAGAAAATTGACTCAGTCCTGTGATAAGTAAAGTCAATTTGTGTGCATCCTCATCCAATGAATTTTCATGTTTGATGAACCCTGGGGCAAAGTGGGGCAACAAAAGGTCAAAGTTTTACATGCATCAGACATTGTTTGACATGCATTTGAGATGTGCATCGGCCGTTAACTTTTGATCATTTCCAGCATCTGCTATGGAACACTTTACCGAACACTGCAACTGTTGGCATAATTAAAATAAGCAATTAGCCATTTATCAGAACTGTAAAATTCATATCCTCTGGGTTGAAGGTCATATATTGAAAATGAAATATGAGAAAATCTTTATTTTTTCATCAATACCAAGGAATCAAATTGTGTGCATGTTTGTAATGTGTAATGAGCAATGAGTCTTTTATACCAAAACTAAAATTCGTGGCTTCTGGAATCTGGGTCAGACCTCTGGATGGGGATAAGTTGGTCATGTCATATTGAAAATAAATTACACCTGTGAAAATAGTTCTCTTTAATACTTATGGACAGCTAGCAGGTAAATTACTTGCTTGAATACAATGAGTATTTAACCTTTAAGTAAAATCATAAAATTAATTGGCCCTGGGTCCAAAGTTTTATAGGTCCAGCAGTGGGGATAAGTTGTCATATGTAAATTGAAATTACATTACATTTTTGAAAATCTTTGCTTCAGGACATTTACGGTAACAGGCATTTTTAAATAATTCTTTGCATGATTATAACCAGAAGTCTCTGACGAGACTGTAGTTCTACTGGTTATACTTATAAAGGAAGATAAAAGTAGCACTTGGACTTGAAACTTTGCAACAGCAATACATAGAATAGTGATCCTTGCTGTAGTCTCTTTTGTGGCAAGATTTATTGCAATCAGACTAAAACTGTAGGAGGAATTTCTATTTTTAGTAACCATGGCAACACCACTCATCAAAATCGAAAAAAAAAATGATGTACAGAATTATGTATCTTAGTGTAGTCTACTTGTGTGCTAAGTTATACTGAAATCAGACCAAAACTGTAGGAAGAGTAGCATTTTGAAAGTATTACAGAGAAATTTCTATTTTTAGTAACCATGGCAACACCGTTCATCGAAATTAAAAACTGATAAACAGAATTATGTATCTTAGTGTAATCTACTTATATGCCAAGTTTAATTGAAATCAGATCAAAACTGTAGGAGGAGTAGCCTTTTGAAAGTTTTTCAAGGAAATTTCTTTTTTTAGTAACCATGGCAACACCGTTCATCGAAATCAAAAACCGATATACAGAATTATTTATCTTTATGTAGTCTACTTGTGTGCCAAGCTTTATTGAAATCAGACAAAAACTGTAGGAGGAGTAGCGTTTTGAATGTATTTTCCAGAAATCTCTATTTTTAGTAACCATGGCAACACCAATCATCGAAATTAAAACCCGATACACAGAATTACATATCTTAGTGTAGTCTACTTATGTGCCAAGTTATATTGAAATCAGACCAAAACTGTAGGAGGAGTAGCGTTTTGAAAAATTGTTTACCGACGGACAGACAGACAGACGGATGGACAACAGACACCTTACTATCGCATAAGCTCTTCTGGTCTCTGACCAGTAGAGCTAAAAAGCAGCTAGCTCTGTACCAAGATTTTGAAATCATGTTCATTCATTTCAGAATTCAAGCTCCAGAGTGACTTTATGAGTCATTATACATGTTCTTATATTGAAGTATTATTATAGAGTATACCTTTGAAAATTTTATCTGTTAGTATCATTGGATATTTGGCAAGCAGACTTTATGCATGGTGGCAGAAAGCTCTTTGGCCTTTAGGTAAATTAAACAATGTTGCACCCCAGGGTTCAGGTCCAAGGATTGGGCTTAGACTAATAGCAGTCTAGCAGGTCCAAGGATGGGGCTTAGACTAATAGCAGTCTAGCAATTTTAAAGAGAATTTCTCTATAGATTTCAAGAGAAAGATTTGACACTCTTTTTGTTCTTGCAGACACTCAGACAATTACTTGACAGACCCTTTTTAACATATTCTTATGTTAAGATCATAGTATTTTTATACATCTGTGAAAAAAACCCAGATGTTTAAGTATACATTATATTAGGAGAACAAGACTTACAGATATCAGGAAATTCTTTTAACTACAGTTGAACTTCATTATCTCAAACACTGATATCTCAAATACCATGGATATGTCGAAGTGAGCTGGAAGTCCCAATCACAATATATGTATTTCAACCTCGATATCTCAAATCTTCAGATGTCTTCGAAGTTTTTCTCAGCACCATTGAGTTCAGGATGATGAAGTTTGACTGTATCATTTTTTTTCATTGTCCTTATTATTCTAGTTAAATATCCACTTAATTTAGCCCTACTTAAGATTTTTACATGCTGCAGATGGCTGCATTTGCAGTTACTTTGAAAATGCTTTTATTTCACTCTATTGCAAAAAGGTGATTAAAAATTAATTTCCCAATTCAAGGGGCATAAATTGGCTTATCTAATTCAATGTTGGCATTGTTTAAAAAGAATTGCTTGTAACTTTTAAGATACATTTCCATTTTCTTAAACACTACTTAATAATTTTCAATGAAAAAATTAGCATATCAGTATATTATACTGGTAGTTACTGACAGTCAATTTCTTTCTGTTTAAGGTTATTCCCACAGCAAAATTATAGCCTTGTTTGATGTTTAAAATGTTTGTTTTTTTTTAAAGCCTTTTACACAAACCATTTTTTATTGCAGGTAGGTAAACCCAGTTTCTTGCTAAAATGATTGAAGATATTTGTCAGACCTGAAAAAAATCAAATAAACTGCATGTATTAAAGAATTCTGCTAAGGAGCAAGAATTTAGACACTGGTGAGTCTTTATTGGAAAAAAAAAGAACATAATAATTAAAGGATGAAACTTCACACTTTCTTTAAAAAGATGTAACTTCTGAATTTTTTTTTTTTTTGGTAACAGATTAGATATGTCAGCAGGATGGTTGATTGTGGTTGCAGCAATGTGGGGTGCCACAAATCCCTTCATCAAGCACGGAAGCAGTGGCATTGAAAATGTTAAAGAAAATGGTAAAGTGCGACAATTCCTGATGGAGCTCAAATTTCTCATATTCAATTGGAAGGTATTGCTTTAATTTCAAAATGTATAATTCCTGCTCAATCATAATAATTGTTCATGCAGGTATGCAGTAAATATTATCAAATTCTTTGAAAATGGGGTTTTGTACTTCAGAATACCCTTCATTTCTAGTGCTGTGTCTACCGTTTTTTTTTTCAAGGCAAGAGTATTTGCCCTAACTTCATGTAGCTGTTAAGAAACGTGTACATATACTTTTTACAGGGAAGAGAGGAAATTATCTAGTTAGCCACCCTATTTACTCTGTAAATTCATTAGTGCATTAAAATTTTTGGAGGAAGGAAGGGGATCCCTTTCATTGAAATGGATTTACAAAAAAAAAAATGCAAACATTTCTTTGTGTACTAGTATACTCCAGGGGTATCTCTTATATTAATTTAACAATACACTATAGTATATGTGTGGGTTTTAATTTTACCTTTTTATTTATGTTCAGTATCTTGTACCATTCCTGATAAATCAAGGTGGATCCGTACTGTACTACATTACACTGGCCTCAGCTGGTAAGGACACAGCAATTAATTAACAGGTAGAACAAAGCTTATTTACACATTATTAGTCACTATTAGTCATTATGAGTCACTCAGGTGACCTATTGCTATCTGTTTTCGTCCATCGTCGTGCGGATGTGCGTCGTGCGTAAACTTTTCACATTTTCGACTTCTTCTCAAGAACCACTGGGCCAATTTCCACCAAACTTGCCACAAACTATCCTTGGGTAAAGATGATTCAAGTTTGTTCAAATGAAGGACCACACCTTCTTCCAAGGGGAGATAATCAAGAATTAGTGAGAAATTAATGGTATCTTTTAAAAATCTTCTTCTCAAGAACCGCTGGACCAGGTAAGATGAAATTTATATGGAAACATCATCAGGTAGTGTAGACTCAAGTTTGTTCAAATCATAACCCCCGGGGGTAGGGTGGGGCCACAATGGAGGATCAAAGTTTTACATAGAAATAAATAGGAAAAATCTTAAAAAATCTTCTTCTCAAGAACAGCAAATCCATGATGAGTCATATTTATATGGAAGCATTCTCAGGTAGTGTAGATTCAAGTTTGTTCAAATCATGACCCCCGGGTTTAGGGCGGGGCCACAATGGAGGATCAAAGTCTACATAGAAATTATATAGGAAAAATCTTTTAAAATCTTCTTCTCAAGAACAGCAAAGCCATGATGAGTCATAATTATATGGAAGCATTCTCAGGTAGTGTAGATTCAAGTTTGTTCAAATCATGACCCCTGGGGGTAGGGCGGGGCCACAATGGATGATCAAAGTTTACATAGAAATTATATAAGAAAAATCTTTTAAAATCTTCTTCTCAAGAACAGCAAAGCCATGATGAGTCCTATTTATATGGAAGCATTCTCAGGTAGTGTAGATTCAAGTTTGTTCAAATCATGACCCCCCGGGGGTAGGGCGGGGCCACAATGGATGATCAAAGTCTACATAGAAATTATATAGGAAAAATCTTTTAAAATCTTCTTCTCAAGAACAGCAAAGCCATGATGAGTCATATTTAAATGGAAGCATTCTCAGGTAGTGTAGACTCAAGTTTGTTCAAATCATAACCCCCGGGGGTAGGGTGGGGCCACAATGGAGGATCAAAGTTTTACATAGAAATAAATAGGAAAAATCTTAAAAAATCTTCTTCTCAAGAACAGCAAAGCCATGATGAGTCATATTTATATGGAAGCATTCTCAGGTAGTGTAGATTCAAGTTTGTTCAAATCATGACCCCCCGGTTTAGGGTGGGGCCACAATGGATGATCAAAGTTTACATAGAAATGATATAGGAAAAATCTTAAAAAATCTTCTTCTCAAGAACAGCAAAGCCATGATGAGTCCTATTTATATGGAAGCATTCTCAGGTAGTGTAGATTCAAGTTTGTTCAAATCATGACCCCCGGGGGTAGGGCGGGGCCACAATGGAGGATCAAAGTTTACATAGAAATTATATAGGAAAAATCTTTTAAAATCTTCTTCTCAAGAACAGCAAAGCCATGATGAGTCATATTTATGTGGAAGCATTCTCAGGTAGTGTAGATTCAAGTTTGTTCAAATCATGACCCCCCGGGGGTAGGGCGGGGCCACAATGGATGATCAAAGTTTACAGAGAAATTATATAGGAAAAATCTTTTAAAATCTTCTTCTCAAGAACAGCAAAGCCATGATGAGTCCTATTTATATGGAAGCATTCTCAGGTAGTGTAGATTCAAGTTTGTTCTAATCATGACCCCTGGGGGTAGGGTGGGGCCACAATGGATGATCAAAGTTTTACATAGAAATATATAGGAAAAATCTTTTAAAATCTTCTTCTCAGGAACAACAGAGCCATGATTGGTTAATATATGGAAGCATCCTCAGGTAGTGTAGATTCAAGTTTGTTCAAATCATGACCCCCCAGGGTAGGATGGGGCCACAATGGGGAATCAAAGTCTTACATAGGAATATATAGGAAAATTTCTTCTTCTCAAGAACAGCAAAGCCATGATTAGTCATTTTGATATGATTCTCCAGAACCAAAAAAGATAAAACTTATCTGGAAACATCCTCAGGTAGTGTAGATTCTAGTTTTTTTCAAATCATGATGATCAAAGTTTTACATGGGAATACATTGGAAAAGTCTTCTTATCCAGAACCACTGGGCCAAGAAAGATGAAATGTGGAAACATCTTCAGGTAGTGTAGATTCAAGTTTGTTAAAACCATGATCCCCAGGGGTAGGGTGGGCCACAATGGACAATGAAAGTTTTACATTGGAAAATGTAGGAAAAATCTTGAAAAAATTCTTTTCTCAAGAACAGCAAAGCCATGATTGGTTATATTTACATGGAAACATCCTCAGCTAGTATATATTCAAATTTGTTCAAATCATGAATCTGGAATCTGGGGATAGGGTTGGGCCACAATGGACAATCAAAGATTTACAAAAGCTTCTTCTATCAGTTTATTTTATACTCTATGGATCTTCTATGGATTGTTGTTTTATACTCAGGTGACCGTTAAGGCCCTTGGGCCTCTTGTATCATTCTATAGACCTTGTAGAAAATGTGAATAATTGTAAACATTTTTCTTTCACCCACACAATTTTTACCTAATGGTTAAGAAAAAATTCCTATGCATGTCATGAAGTTTTATACTTAAAAGAGAAAAATCAGAAGCTTCTTTAAATGAAGGCCATGCATGCCCTTTACAAAGTGATTGAATACCAGGTAATAGAGAAAAATAAGTTTTTAGGTCACCTGAGTCACTCAGGTGACCTATTGCTATCCATTTTTGTCCGTCGGCGTGCGTCGTGCGTTAACATTTGAACATTTTTAGCTTCTTCTCTGAAACCGCTCAACCAATTTCAACTAAATTTGGCATATAGCATCTATGGGTGAAGGGGAACAAAAATTGTGAATTTCATGGTCCCTGCCCCCCTGGGGCCTGAGGGGTGTGGCTAAAACCACCAAAATTAATGCAATCTTTAAAAATCTTTTTCTTTACTCCTGGACATCAAGCAGTCAAACTGTTGGCATCATTGTGATAAGCATTGAGTTCTCTACCAAAATTGTGAAATTCATGGCCCCAGGGTCAGGGGTTCTGGTGCTAGGGCGGGGCTATATAGATCATATAGTGAAAGTGCATTATTTCTTTGAAAATCTTCTTCTCTGCTCCTGGGTATTAAATAAACTAACTAAGTATATAGTTATGATGAGTAAGAGTGACTCTTCCAAAATTGTGAAATTCATGGCCCCAGGGGCAGGGGTTCTGGTGTTAGGGCGGGGCTCTATTGATTATATAGTGAAAATGCATTAGTTCTTTGGAAATCTTCTTCTCTGCTCCTGGGTATTAAATAAACTAACTAAGTATATAGTAATGATGAGTAAGAGTACCTCTACCAAAATTGTGAAATTCATGGCCCCAGGGGCAGAGGTTCTGGTGTTAGGGCGGGGCTCTATTGATTATATAGTGAAAATGCATTAATTCATTGAAAATCTTCTTCTCTGCTCCTGGGTATTAAATAAACTAACTAAGTATATAGTTATAATGAGTAAGAGTGCCTCTTTCAAAATTGTGAAATTCATGACCCCAGGGGCAGGGGTTCTGGTGTTAGGGCGGGGCTCTATTGATTATATAGTGAAAATGCATTAATTCATTGAAAATCTTCTTCTCTGCTCCTGGTTATTAAATAAACTAACTAAGTACACAGTTAGGATGAGCAAGAGCGCCTCTTCCAAAATTGTGAAATTCATGGCCCCTGGGTCAGGGGTTCTGGTGTTAGGGCGGGGCTCTATTGATTATATAGTGAAAATGCATTAATCTTTTGAAAATCTTCTTCTCTGCTCCTGGGTATTAAATTCAGTAACTAAGTACATAGTTATGATGAGCAAGAGTGCCTCTTTCAAAATAGTGAATTTCATGGCCCCTGGGTCAGGGGTTCTGGTGTTAGGGTGGGGCTCTATTGATTATATAGTGAAAATGCATTAATCCTTTGAAAATCTTCTTCTCTACTCCTGGGTATTATTGAAACATATTAAATACATAGTTATGATAATCAAGGATGCCTCTTTCAAAATTGTGAAATTCATGGCCCCTGGATCAGGGGTTTTGGTGTTAGGACAGGGCTCTATTGATTATAAAGTGAAATGTTTTAATTCTTTAAAAATCTTTTTCTCTGCACCTGGGTATTATTTAAACAAACTAAGTACATTGTTATTGTCACAGCCTTATATATATGGTAAAATACAACACAACACGACTGCTGGGTTCGATGTTTATATATAATATATATTCTACGATTGTGGAATTTTATAATATAGAAGGAAGGGTGACCTGAAATATAACAACAGGTATTAAATATCTCTCGCCTCACTCACACTTTTACACGGATCATAATTTAAATTTTATAAATTTGGAGAATTTATAAAATACTTGATTGAAATAAAATGATCAAATAGATATTGAATAGTAATTGAATCCTTAGAAATAATTTACCAGTTATTTCTTACCGTAAATCCTAGACAAAGTTCACAATTATCGTGAGATAAAGTTGTGTTGGGGAGAGAGAGCGTCTTCTCTCCCCAAAGTCTTAGGTTGGAGTGCTTGAGAATTAGTATTGGCGCGAATGCGCAGGGGACAGAATAAAACCAGTTTGACCACTCACACACCCGTACTCTCACTGACCACTCACCCGTATAAATGAATGAATGAATGAATAAGGCAATGAATGAACATAGTAAATTCCGTAGTGAGAACGGAATTCACTAGTTACTATAATAATATAATGCCTTAGACAAATGTATGAATATGATATGAATGATAATTAGTAATATTAATTAATTAATTATAATTCACCCTGTGACATTCTCCTCCTCTTTGAGAAAAATGTGTCCTCACATTTCATCAAATTACATTGTAAAAAATATATATCAACTGAAATAAAAATATCAAATATTAAAAATATCAACACACATATAATTGATAATTAATGTTTTGCAACATCTTCTGCTCTATAACAGAAAGCATTTTGTATTAGCACAAGCTGAAATACAAAATCATTCAATCAATTCATATCAATGTATTATTGTCATAAACTGGAATCATGAATGGCTAAGCTGAAAAGCAATCCATGATTAATAAAGTATCTAAAATCTAGGAAATATGATCAACTAGCGATCATGTAAATCATAAAACTATCAACTATCACATACGTCCTAAAACTATCAACTTTAGATATCTACGTCATAAAACTATATACAACTGACTATCTGAAATATACTATCTGAAATCTAATCCCTGTAATAATCCTGTGACATTCTCCTCCTACACATACCATACTTGAGCATCATGCTCCCCTACAACCCAATTTCCATATCTATCAGGAGGATTTTTAACTCTTGTGGAACGTCTTATACTTGGTTGAATAGTAGACGGGCTCGATTCACTACCTCGCGACAAATTATCACGCATTTCGGACAAATTTGTACTCGATATTGTGTTAAAAGAAGAACCACTGTCCTGTATTTGATATGCAGGGTCAACGGAAGAAGAATTTTCTAACCTTGACATAGGTCTACTAAAATCTGAAATATTAAATGTGTTAAATGTCAAACCATCTGATCTCATTTGTTCATTTGAACTATTGAGATGAGTATTATGGTTAACACGTGAAGTGTTATGAACATTTTTACACTTATTTGTATTCGCTGGTTTTGTCACCAGTAACACTTCTGATTCAGAATCACTTGATTCAGAATCTGTTCCACTTTCTGTAAACACACTATGTTTTTGTTTAACAGTTTTCTTACTTTTCTTGGTCTTATCATTTGTAAGACAGTCATCATCTGACAAGAACATAAAAGGTAACAGTAAGTTTCTGTGAAGTAATCTTACTGGTCCTTTGCCAGATGACTTCTGTACTTTATAAATAGGAATGTCACTATTGGGAATATCTAACACAACATATGGATCTTTTTCCCATTTATCAGATAGTTTACTTTTTCCAGTCTTTACTAAAAGACGAACTAGAACCCTGTCTCCGATCTCTAACTTTGAGAATCGGACTCTATTATCATAGTTCTCTTTGTGTCTTGGGCGCCATTGTCACAGCCTTATATATGTGGTAAAATACAACACAACACGACTGCTGGGTTCGATGTTTATATATAATATATATTCTACGATTGTGGAATTTTATAATATAGAAGGAAGGGTGACCTGAAATATAACAACAGGTATTAAATATCTCTCGCCTCACTCACACTTTTACACGGATCATAATTTAAATTTTATAAATTTGGAGAATTTATAAAATACTTGATTGAAATAAAATGATCAAATAGATATTGAATAGTAATTGAATCCTTAGAAATAATTTACCAGTTATTTCTTACCGTAAATCCTAGACAAAGTTCACAATTATCGTGAGATAAAGTTGTGTTGGGGAGAGAGAGCGTCTTCTCTCCCCAAAGTCTTAGGTTGGAGTGCTTGAGAATTAGTATTGGCGCGAATGCGCAGGGGACAGAATAAAACCAGTTTGACCACTCACACACCCGTACTCTCACTGACCACTCACCCGTATAAATGAATGAATGAATGAATAAGGCAATGAATGAACATAGTAAATTCCGTAGTGAGAACGGAATTCACTAGTTACTATAATAATATAATGCCTTAGACAAATGTATGAATATGATATGAATGATAATTAGTAATATTAATTAATTAATTATAATTCACCCTGTGACATTATGATAAGCAAGGATGCCTCTTCCAAAATTGTGAAATTCATGGCCCTGGGGACAGGAGTTCTGGTGCTAGGGCGGGGCTATATAGATCCTATAGTGAAGGTGAATTATTTCTTTGAAAATCTTCTCTGCCCCTGGGTATTGCTTAAACAGGCTAAAGTACATTGTTATGATACACAAGGATGCCTCTTCCCAAAATTGTGAATTTTATGACCCCAGGTTTAAGGGTTCTGGTGAAGGGGGGGGGGGGGCTTCTATTGATTATAAAGTGAAAAGCAAAATTTCTTTGAAAATATTCTTTTCTTCTTCTGGTTAAAAAAGCAAAGAAGCTAAGTGTATAGTTATGATGAGCAAGTGTGCTTCTTCCCGAGGAGTGAATTTCATGACCCCTGGGTCAGATGTGCTGGTGTGAGGGTGGGGCTCTTGATTATTTAGTGAAAATGCATTAATTCTATTAAATAATCCTGTTTGCTCCTTAGTGTTAAGCAGATAAACAAAGTGATGATGAGCAAACATATGGTCCCAGGGTCAGAAGATCTGGTGTTTTGGGGGTGGGGGGTTGGGGGGGGGGGGGCTCTATTGATAATATAGTGAATCTGTAGTAAAAATGCATTATTTATTTAAAAATCTTCTCCGCACCTGGGCATATCTGAGGCAAACAGAGTAAAAGTTTTTATAAGGAAGGGAATTTTTACCAGATTTTTGAACATCTGGACCATTTGGTCAAGTGTTCTGGTCCTGGCCAGGGCTCTATTAGTTTGTATTCTACTGAGAGGAGTTATTCCCCTTTACCATTTACTTTTGATAATTTATCACTGTAAATAATGTACTTGAAAGGTAAATAGAATAAGAGAATTTTGCAAGAACTTTAATTGTATAATACAAAAAGTACTTTCATAGTTTTAATGATCAGATAGACTTGTAAGTAGTAGATAAATAAAAATGAGACAAAAATAACTTGTCTTATTAAATATTCATCAAAGACCAAGAGATGCCAATTTAAGAGATTTCAACAAGGGATTAAAATAGTACAGAAGCAGTGATAATTTGTTAATATACTGTATAGTGATAGTGATAAATGGGGAACAGATTAGAATCTAATTTATGAACTGTTAATGAATATTAAGACCAATTATTTTGTTGATCATGATCACCCTATTTTTCTTGCTTTTGGGCAACAAAGCTTCACCTTTCAGTTCATTTTATACTCTATGCATCCTTGAAATTGTTTTATCATACTCAGGTGACCGTTAAGGCCCTTGGGCCTCTTGTTAAGTATCTCATTCTCTTTCAAAAAAATAAAAATTAAATTTATTAGAAACTTCATAATATATTATAGATTCAGATCCGTTCAAACCATGGATCTCTTCTATGTGTTCAAATTTGTTCAAAGCAAGGCCCCAGGACAGTGATTGGGTTACAATGTAGGATTCCTTGATTAGTTTATAGGAATATATAAACCAAACAGAAAAAAAAATCTGTCATGACTACCTTGGTGAAGGTACCGGGATCGGTTCTCAGCAGTACCAACAGGTTTTTTTTCTTATTATGAAAATAATTTAATACTTACTGAAATTTTCTAAGTTCTTTCTTCGGTAGAGGAACAGGAATGAGAATTTGAACATAGCAAATACTGTTTTCAGTGTAATTTGCAACTCTCCATTCCTGAAATAGGCAGCACCCAAACAAAAAGCTGTAAGGAGGGAGGAAAGCTGTCTTTAAGACCTTTAAGGAGGGAGGAAAGTGTTGGTCAGAAGGGTTTGATTGCCGGTGGCCAGATAGCTCAGTTGGTAGAGCACCTGACTGGAGATTCAGGGGACCTGGGTTTGAATCCTGGTCTAGTCCGTCGCATTTTTTCTTCCTCCCTGTTACAATGGAAATGATGGACAAGAAATCAACAAATCACCATGCAATCATCCTCATATAATTGTTGAAATCAAGGCCAAAGGTTTAGAGGTCAGGAAGGGATAAAGCTACAGTTAAACATGAAATTTTGCAAAAAGTGCCATATATACTCAGATTTATAAGCCTTTCACTTATGAATTGGTGGTATTTTTATACGTCTGTCTTAAGACAGGACATATGGTACGGCGTTCATGTCCATCCGTCTAGCTGTCTGTCCATCCGTTAGCTTTTTTATGTTTGTCTCACAGCTTAAATACTATGAGGCCTAGAATAATCAAACTTTGACAGCTGATACCTCTTGGGTAGAAGTTGGTGTCACACATTAAAATCCATGTAGGTAGCTGTGAACTTTAATTAAGAAGATGTGGCCAAATATGTCAAAACTCTGTTCAGCTCTTAACTGGAAAACTATTAGACCTTGAATCATCAAACTTAAAATCAATGCAACTTAGGTAGAAGGTGTGCCACATTCTACATCAAGGTCACTGTGACATTTACTTAGGTGATTTTTAAAAAAAATACTTTTTTAAGGGATGTAGTCCCTACAGATGTAAGAGTATTGCAGTAATAAAAATACACATTTTTTCCATCATACACTGTGCAGCTATAAGATTTCTTTTGTTTCTAATAATAACAAGAGAAATTCCACTTGTCCCACAGGATTGTTTATCTAAGCTATGGTTGTGCAAGAGAAGTAAGGACATTTTGATAATAGACAAATTGCATCTGTCAAGTTAAAGATTATTGAGATTAGTGTAGGAAGAATAATCATTTCTGTTAGAGGATCTCTGATCAAGCAGATGTCATCTATATCTCATAGAGTTTTGGACCAAAATTTAACTACCTCAAATCAGACATATATATGCATGAATATATATATATATAGTTTACATATAGTTTTTTCTCTACAAAATGACAATTTAATATCAAAACATCTTGATATACTTGTATTATAAAGGATGTTTTCACAGAAAGCTGGTTCATAAGACTCGTACTGGTGGTGACAAAATTCCCACAGGCCTCTTGTTTTAAAACTAAAAGCAGATTATATCTTTAAAAACGGGGCATGCCTTGCTTTTTTTTTCAGAACTCTCCCTGGCTGTGCCAATCACTAACTCCCTTACCTTTCTATTTACCATCATATCTGGCCGATTTCTAGGAGATCAAATTCATCACTGGGGTATGTATCCAGCTTTTGCACTGATACATATAAACAAGAGGCCCATGGGCCACATCGCTCACCTGAGCACAGTGGATAGGCAAAAGCACAAATCAGTTCAATATTGAAAAGATTCGGGGGGGGGGGGGGGGGGGGGGGCTTGAATTTTAAACTACCTGATGATGCTTCCATGTCAAAATAACAAATGGCTTTGTGTGTACTTGAGAAGATTTTAAAAAAAATTTCTGATATATTCCTTTGTAAAAATTTGATCCCCTCTTGTGGCTCCTCCCTATCCCAGGGGTCATCATTTGAACAAACTGGAATCTACACTACCTGAGGATGCTTCCATATCAATATGACTAAACATAGCTTTTCTGTTCTTGAGAAGAAATATTTCTTCTATATGTTCTTACATATATGTATGTAACATTCGATCCTCCATTGTGGCCCCGTCCTACTCTCGGGGGTCATCATTTGAACAAACTTGAATCTACACTACCTGAAGATGCTTCCATATCAATATGACTAAACATAGCTTTTCTGTTCTTGAGAAGAAATATTTTTTCTATGTGTTCTTATGTAAAATTTTCTATCCCCCTATTGGGCCCCACCCTACCCTCGGGGGTCATCATTTGAACAAAATTGAATTTACACTACCTGATGATGCTTCCATATCAAAATGACTAATCATGGCTTTGCAGTTCTTCATCAGAAGAAATCTTCCTATATATTTCTATTTCAGACTTTGATCCTCCATTGTGGCCACACCCAACCCCAGGAGGGCAACATTTGAATAAACTTGAATCTACACTACCTGAGTATACTTCCACATAAATATGATCAATCAGGGCTTTGCTGTTCTTGAGAAGAAGATTTTTAAAGATTTTTCCTATATATCTCTATGTAAAACTTTTATCCTCCTTTGGGGCCCCACCCTACCCCCAGGGGTCATGATTTGGACATACTTAAATCTATACTACCTTAGGATGCTTCCATATCAATATGATCAATTAGGGCTTTGCTGTTATTAAGAAGAAGATTTTTAAAGATTTTTCCTATATATTTCTATGTAAAACTTTGATCCTCCATTGTGGCCCCGTCCTACCCCCGGGGGTCATGATTTGAACAAACTTGAATCTACACTACCTGAGGATGCTTCCATATAAATATGACCAATCATGGCTTTGCTGTTCTTGAGAAGAAGATTTTTAAAGGTTTTTCCCATATATTTCTATGTAAAACTTTGATCCTCCTTTGGGGCCCCGCCCTACCCCCAGGGGTCATGATTTGAACAAACTTGAATCTACACTACCTGAGGATGCTTCCATATAAATATGACTCATCATGGCTTTGCTGTTCTTGAGGAGAAGATTTTTAAAGATTTTTCCCATATATTTCTATGTAAAACTTTGATCCTCCATTGTAGCCCCGCCCTACCCCCGGGGGTCATGATTTGAACAAACTTGAATTTACACTACCTGAGGATGCTTCCATATAAATATGACTCATCATGGCTTTGCTGTTCTTGAGGAGAAGATTTTTAAAGGTTTTTCCTATATATTTCTATGTAAAACTTTGATCCTCCATTGTGGCCCCGCCCTACCCCCGGGGGTCATGATTTGAATAAACTTGAATCTACACTACCTGAGGATGCTTCCATTTAAATATGACTCATCATGGCTTTGCTGTTCTTGAGGAGAAGATTTTTAAAGATTTTTCCTATATATTTCTATGTAAAACTTTGATCCTCCATTGTAGCCCCGCCCTACCCCCGGGGGTCATGATTTGAACAAACTTGAATCTAAACTACCTGAGGATGCTTCCATATAAATATGACTCTTCATGGCTTTGCTATTCTTGAGAAGAAGATTTTTAAAGGTTTCTCCCCATATATTTCTATGTAAAACTTTGATCCTCCATTGTGGCCCCGCCCTACCCCCGGGGGTCATGATTTGAACAAACTTGAATCTACACTACCTGAGGATGCTTCCACATGAGTTTCATCTTCCCTGGCTTTGTGGTTCTTGAGAAGAAGATTTTTAAAAGATGCTATTAATTTTTCACTAATTCTTTATTATCTCCCCTTGAAAGAGGGCGTGGCCCTTCATTTGAACAAACTTGAATCCCCTTCACCCAAGGATACTTTGTGGCAAGTTTGGTTGAAATTGGCCCAGTGGTTCTTGAGAAGAAGTCGAAAATGTGAAAAGTTTACAGACTGACGGACGGACAGACGGACAGACGGACTACAGACAAAATGTGATCAGAAAAGCTCACTTGAGCCTTCGGCTCAGGTGAGCTAAAAATGAAACAACTATTTATGAACTTCTCAATATCACCTACTTAGGATCCTTTAGTAAATATAACAGAATATATGTGTAATTTTTCACTGCTATTAAACACATGCATCTTTATTGTATCTAAAAATAACACTATGTAAATTGTGTACATTGTTTAAATGACTGTTACACTGACTATTTTATTTCATATAATATATATGATATCCATATAATATGATTTCTGTATGATATTTTACAGAAACCTATGTTGGAATGCTGCTGATTTTGGCTGGTGTTGCACTGTGCGTGTCTGACAAAATGTGACAAAAACTTGTTATGTATGGAGCTTAAATGTTGACATGTTCATTGACTGTGATACTTCCGTTACAAATGGTTTATGAATCATGCAATTAATTGTAACATAATCAAGTTTTATCATTTAGCATGATGAGTAAATAAATTGTCTCAAAATCATAATGTTTTTTACATTTCTATTGAAATACAGGAACCCCATCTGAGGCATGACATATGTTTATTGGAGAGTTTTTGCCTGCTCTCTCAGTTTATTAAAAAGATCTGTACAAGTCCATATTCTGAGCCTCTGAAGATGATTAAACCATGCCCAGGCAGGTTTTTTTTTAAATTTTTCAAATTTCCAACATCTCAGCATGAGCATCACTGAAGAGACATACAATGTATAATTTGTTGAAATGCACATCTAGTGCATCAAAATTGGTACCGTATACGATTTAAATTGAAAATTCTTAAAATATGTTTCTACTTTTTGGGGTTTGTTGACACTGCATGGTACGTTGCTGGGGACTTGCTGACCTATGCTATGACCTTTCATTTGATTGGTATAGAAATGGCGTGGCAAATAGCAAAATACGACTTGAGTCTTAAAACTGTAATATTTATACGGCAAAGTCTATCTTAAAAAGCAAGTGAAAACTTGGAAATTGTCTTCCATTTTCTAAAAACTAGGAGCTTCCTGTGGGCTCCAACCCATTCCTGGGACAATAACCAGGGCGCTGCCCTGTACCTGCTGGGAACCTACTTGTACGTTGTGAGAAGACCCTTGCCTCACTAAATATTTAGGCCTAGTTACAGCCTTGTAAATACTTGGAAAATACATTGGGATCTGTATACCCAAATGGATCGTACTTCAAATAAAGTTGTAGACAGACAATTGCATGCGGAAGTCTTACCATTTTTACGAATCTGAAGGGTTGTTGAATTAAATACATACGAACAGAATACATAATTTCTTATTTCATTATTCATTTTAGTAAGAGGCTTGAGAAATCAAGATTTCTATCTGAATATCACTATTTCTCGTACATGTTATTCTAGCATTCTTAATATTCATCGATTCTCTTTCTTTCCAGCATGAGCTATACAAAACTAGTTTGCAACTAAATACCACACATTATGGTGTTATATCAGGCGACACATGCCTTCCTTGAAACACGTTGTTTAAAGTCATATATGGAATATTTTTTTACAAGACTAACTAAAATTATTAAGATCTTTTTATTTTTTTTTTTTACTTTATATAAAGATAGGATGTTCCTGTAAATTACATAATTTAAATCAATCACATTTCAAAGATATTAGAAATTTAAAACAATAACCGATTTATTTACCAACTCTGAATTTAAAAAGTCAAGTTAACTAAGGAAACATGAGGTTATTCAAGTTCAAAATCGGTGAAAATTTTAATTTGAACGTAAATAACTTATATTATGTTTATCTACACTCAATCTTGTATTTTTATTTTTTAGCTCAGATAACGCCATATATGGCTTTTAAATAACTCTCCTTTGTAAAATCCACAATTATATGATCAACACATTAACTCATAGCCCATCCATTCTGGCATCATAAGTTGAACCACTTTGACATATATCTGCTATCACTTCTATAATACTCAACCTTTAACAGGCTTTCAACTGTATTGCCACATTCAGCTGGGGTAGTCAATAGATACGATACAAAAACATTAACCAAAAAAAAAAATCATATGCATCTTTAATTACAAGCCATTTAATATTCATTAAAAAAAAAAAAAGACACTCAACATGCATTTTCATCTATACAATATCAGAATTTGGAACAAGCAAAACAAGCAACTTGGTTTTCAACATTTTTTTTTAAGGACAATCATGAAAAAAAGGTTCCAATTAAATATGGCACATAAAATTTGTGTAGATAATCGCTTTAATCACAAGTTTGTGTAAGTAATCGCTTATTCATAGGTTTAGTCCATTTCCTCAACAGTGGGTCCCCCACCCTGACTAGGGCCCCCCGATTGACTCTGACCACCTCCGTGAAGTTTTGCCATGATCGGAGAACACACTTTCTGCACTTCTTTTAGCTTGAACTCGAACTCGTCCGTTTCTGCTAGAGCATTGCTATCCAGCCAAGACAAAGTTTCACTGCAAATGCTGGTGGCTTTCTCCTTATCTTCTGGTGGAAGTTTATCTCCGTGTTCTTCTGCTGCCTGTTTGACAGAGAAAACATACGACTCCAGCTGATTTCGTGCTGCTATCTTTTGCCGCTGTTTCTCGTCTTCATCTTTATACTTCTCTGCCTCATTCACCATCCTGTCAATGTCAGCTTTACTTAGGCGACCCTTGTCATTAGTGATAGTGATTTTGTTGGATTTCCCTGTACTTTTGTCCATGGCCGAGACGTGCAAGATTCCATTCGCATCTATATTAAATTCCACTTCTATCTGTGGGACACCACGAGGGGCTGGAGGAATTCCATTTAGTTCGAATTTACCCAGTTTGTTATTGTCTTTGGTCATTGCTCTTTCACCCTCAAATACCTGAATGGACACTCCTGGTTGGTTATCGGCATATGTAGTAAAAGTTTGAGATGCCTTGCAGGGAATTTTTGCATTCCTTTCAATAATTTTGGTCATGACTCCTCCAGCAGTTTCAATGCCCAAAGAAAGTGGAGTGACATCTACCAGAAGAACGTCTTTGATGGCTTCACTTGTGTCTCCCTTTAAAATGGCTGCCTGGATGGCAGCACCATAAGCCACGGCTTCGTCTGGGTTGATGGATTTGTTCAATTCCTTACCGGCCATGAAATCTTGCAGCAGTTTTTGGATTTTTGGAATTCTTGTTGAGCCACCTACCAGAACCACTTCATGGATTTTGGATTTATCCAGCTTAGCATCCTTAAGTGCTTTTTCTACAGGTTCCAGTGTAGAACGGAACAAATCGGAACACAAGTCCTCAAATCTGGCCCTTGTTATCTTACTATAAAAGTCTATTCCTTCAAAGAGGGAGTCAATCTCAATGTTGGCATCAGAGCTGCTTGACAGTGTCCTCTTTGCACGTTCACATGCAGATCTAAGTCGTCTCAATGCACGCTGATTGTTGGAAATGTCTTTACCGTACTTGCGCTTAAATTCTTGTACAAAGTGGTTCACCATTCTGTTGTCAAAATCTTCACCTCCCAGATGAGTGTCACCTGCTGTAGAACGAACCTCAAACATGGAGCCTTGGTCTATAGTTAGGATGGAAACATCAAATGTTCCTCCTCCTAGATCGAAAATTAGCACATTCTTCTCATCTTTAAGGTTCTTGTCAAGTCCGTATGCCAACGCGGCAGCCGTGGGTTCATTCACAATCCTCAGAACATTGAGCCCAGCTATCAGTCCAGCATCTTTGGTGGCCTCTCTCTGAGCATTATTGAAATATGCTGGGACTGTAATAACAGCTTCCGTAACCTTCTGTCCTAAGTAAGCCTCTGCTGTCTCCTTCATTTTGGTTAACACCATGGAACTGATTTCCTCAGGTGTAAATCGCTTTTTCTCATGCTTGTATTCTACTTCTAACTTGGGCTTTCCTCCGTCATTGACGACTTTAAATGGCCAGTGTTTCATGTCCGCCTGCACACTCTCATCGTTGAATTTGCGTCCAATCAGCCTTTTGGCGTCAAAAATCGTATTGGCCGCGTTGAGTGCTACCTGATTCTTTGCAGCATCTCCGATGAGTCGCTCGGTGTCCGTGAATGCCACATAACTGGGCGTCGTCCTATTACCTTGATCGTTGGCAATGATTTCAACTTTCCCATGTTGAAAGACGCCTACGCAGGAAAAAGTTGTTCCCAGATCGATGCCAATAGCTGGAACTGACATGATTTTATCAAATCACTAAAGTGAAAGTAGCCCGATATATCTCCCCCTCTTGCTTGCCAGTTGGGATTAAGAACAGTTCCCCTTCTTAAACCTGCAGTCTCAACTGAGAAATGATTGAAAAGGCGCATGTCTGCAAATATATACAACTTAAAATAGAAAATTCTCGACATTTCCAGACTCACTGTTCTCGAAATCCCGAAGTTCGTGCCCGATGAAAAACTCAGTCTGTTCAACCAAACACTCGGCTGTCTCCGTAAACTCCGACGAGCGGCCGCCGTGAGAATAACACCCAACGGAACTTAACGAAGACGGTCGAAGGTTATATTGATAATATTACGGGTTTTCCCGACAAGCCCCGAAAAGTAAGCTTATTTTTAGTTGAAGGACGCTTAAAAGCTAAGAACTTGCTGGAAAATACTTCAGTTCATTTCACGGCGTGACTAGTACAGCCGTGAAATGAATTAAAATTAAAGGCTAAAGCATATGGAACGCCAAATTAACATATATTCAAATATTTGAACCTATCTTCAAATAATTGTACCTATCTTCAAATAATTGTACCTATCTTCAAATTATTGTACCTATCTTCAATTGAATTAAAGATAGGTACAACTGAATTAAAGATAGGTCTAAATGAATTAAAGATAGGTGTAAATAATTATACCTATCTCTAAATAATTAAACCTAGGTTCAAATGATTTATACCTATCTTTAATGGAATTACACCTATCTTTAATTCAGTTAAAGATATGTTTCATTGAATTATACCTATCTTTAATTCATTTGAAGATAGGTGCAATTGATTTGAAGATAGGTACAATTGATTTGAAGATAGGTACAATTGAAACATATCCACAAAGGATCTGAAGATAGGTACAATTCAATTATACCTAGATTCAATTCATTTTGTTTTATAGAAAATAATGAAAACTCCCTCTAACATACCAAACAAAGCATTTTTATGGGGAGTAGTTGTTATTGTTGTGTCTTTATAATTAAAGATAGGTTCAATTCAATTGCACCTATCTTTAAATCAATTATACCTATCTTTAATTCATGGCATTTGTACCTATCTTCAAATCAATTGTACCTATTCTCAAATCGTTTGAACCTATCTTCAAATGAATTAAAGATAGGTATAATTGAATTAAACCTATCTTTAATTCATTTATAGATAGGTACAATTGATTTGAAGATAGGTACAATTGATTTGAAGATAGGTACAATTGATTTGAAGATAGGTACAATTAATTGAAGATAGGTTCAAATATTTTAATATATGTTAATTTGGCGTTCCATAATAGCAATTTTATAAACTATTCATTCCCCTGGTAAAAATACAAATGTACTGCGTTGCACGAATACCCCCGGGACTTTAATTATTTTTTTTTTTTTTAAAAATCCGCAATAATTGAAAATATAATGGCATTTTAAATGGATATTCGATGTTTGTAGTTGGATATCGTACTTCTGAATTTATTAATATATATATATTTTTTATAAATCTCTTGTGAAATATATTCCATATCAAACATTGATTTTTCTGATTATATTTTTTAAAATATATTTTTCCTTTCCCTATTAACTGTCTCTCTATTAATTGCGAGGAAAATAAGGTGCATTTGAAATGAAAACAAAAAATGAAATAAAGGGCTCACTAAAACAAATAAAGGGCTCACTAAAACAAATACAAATGTAGCTAACTTTTATTAAAATTAAACTTTAATGGTATTTTGAACGTTAAAATAGGACAGATTTGATATTTTTCGTATATTGGATTTGAAAAGGCGAACTTGTGCTGCCACGTAACACTTTGCATTTCTGATTGTCAAAATAATACCTGTGAAAGTTTTATTCAACTGATGATACAAGTATGATCTGCAGTATTCAATGATGAAAATGAAATTATGCCTTCATACTGAACGGAAATGCTTTTGAAGAATTAAACAGATTTTGTGGATTCTGTCAAAACTCAGTTTTTTTCTTCATATATTAGTAAAAGAAATTACGAAAATAAAAAAAAAACAGAAAAAGTAAGATATTACAGGAGCTGGGCCCCTAACCAGGGCCCTGCATGCCCTGGACCCGCTGGGGTTCTTACAGTAAAATTTTTGGATAGCTACGCTACTGCGAAATCATTTGTTGAAAATCTTTGTATTCATTTGCGTTGTTGCATAACTTAGGACAGGCGCGGATCCAGGAATTTTTTCCGGGGGGGGGGATCCACCCCTGTCAAAAATTCCCCCCCCAAAAAAAAATTAGCTCCTTTCCCAACCTTATCAACCCAGAAAATTTCTTGACAAGAAGAAAAACACACACACACACACAAACTAAAACAAAAAACAAAACAAAAAACACCCTCCCTATTTGCCATTCCCGAACGTGAAAAAAATCTGTTTCCTGGTGGTGGTGGTGGTGGTGGAATCAACGTTTTCTTGGGGGGGGGGGGGGTCCAAAGTCATTTTTATTTGCTTCAGTATATGAATTTAATAACTCTGCAAATTCGGGGGGGGGGGGGGGGCGCCCATCCCCTCTAGATCCGCGCATGAAGAGCGCTACGCCACTGTCGTGTATAGACCTCTTTCTTTCAGATAACACATTCCATCCTATGATGATACCATTTTTCGCTCACCTGAGCTGAAAGCTCAATTAAGCTCGTCTGATCACCTGTTGTCCGGCGTCCATCCGTCTTTTACATTTTCAACTTATTCTCAAGAACCACTGGGACATGTAGTTTCAACCAAGGTTGGCACAAGAATCTTTGGGTAAAGGGGATTTTGGATTGTTCAAATGAATGACCAACCCCTCTTCCAAGGGGAGATAACCAAGAAAAGGCTATAAAGAAAGAGGGGGCGTTAAAAAATCTTCTCCAAATGAGCTAGCAGTAAAAGGAGAAATGAGCTAGATTTTTACTTTCAATTTATTAATGGCATTCTCTCTTCTGATGTAATTCATTGTTTTGTTGTAAGGAATTCTTCTATTTTGCAAGTGGATTATTAAAAGTTTTATCTAGAATTACTGTAATCAATCTTGAGAATTATCAATTTCGGTATTGTATAAAATGTAAATATATACGTGTAATATGCCCTATATCTCTTAAAGATAAAGTCACTAGAAATAAAATAATACTTGTATCTTATGTCCCAGAAAATCAGGCCTATTTTGCATAGGCACTCCCCAGCTTAATTGTTAAAAAATATATATCTACTATACTATAAACATAACAAGGTTATGTTTATAGTATAGTAGATATATATTTTTTAACAATTAAGCTGGGGAGTGCCTGTGCTATTTTGCAAAATGAAATTAAAGAAATGTACAATTGCTTCCCGAGACACGCCAGTATTATCGACTGACGAATTGTTACCAAAGCGAGTCAGGATGCACGTGATTAAGCGGGACGATTCTTTTCGTACACCTGAGACATGGGGAATCAAAAGGTCCATGGACCACAATGCTCACCTGAGTTTTATTGGCTCTGATTAAAAAGGTGTTTTTTAATTCCTATAAGATTTTTACCCCATATTCTGGCCCCTACCCTGTTGCCATGACTTGAACAAATTTGAATCTGCACTACCAGAGAATGCTTGCATATTAATATGAATAATTATGCCCTGGTAGTTCTTGAGAGAAAAATCTCAGATTTTCCCCTATGTATTTTATAACCCCCCCCCCCCTCTCCTATGGGAGCCTGTATGATTTAAATCTCATGATCTGCGCTTCCTTAGGATGCTTGCATATCAAAATACATAATATAGATTCCCATGTAAAACGTCCCCCGTTGCATCCTCACAACATCAATGGTCCCGTCCACTCGTGGGTTTGGGACTCCTGACAAACTTCACTGATTTGAAAAGACTTTAATCTGCAATACCTGAGGATGACGGTATACTAAGTAGTAATGTCGCTTATCGGTTTTTGCGGTTCTTGAGAAGAATATTTTTAAACATTATTTCCTATATATTCCTACTTAAAATGTGTATTTCCTAATATTATACTTTCATGTAAATTAGTTGAATCTGATTCGTGGAGAAACATTTGTTAAAAAACACTATTACCCGCTAAATGATGAAGCCACGCCCTCCAGCGTAGCAACAGTCAACATTGCTTGACGACGGGTAATATTCCAAAAATAGTGACTGCGCAGAATTCATGCGCGCAAGGTTCAGTGTTATATGTATTTGTATAAAACATTCAGTATAATATATGAATACTGCATGTAATTGAGTGTAACATTGAAAATTTTCACCCCTCGAAAACCATTGTCAACCGAGGCGCAACCGAGGTTGACAATGGTTTTCTTGGGGTGAAAATTTTCAATGTTACACTTAATTACATGCAATATTTATATATTGTAGCCCACCATACCCCCCGGAGCCATGATTTGAACAAATATGATTTTGCGCTTCCCGAAGGTGCTTGCATATTGATATGTCTAATCATGGTTCTGCTGTTGTTGAGAAGGAATTTTAAAGTTTTCTTTTTTCTATGCATTCCGATGTAAAATGTTTATCCTCTATTGTGGCCCCACCCTATCCCCAGGGTCCTGCTGTTCTCGAGAAAAGATTTTCAAATTTGATTTACTATACACTTTTATCTCTTATCATGGCCCTGCTATTCTTCGGGAGAAGGCCGGGGGGGGGGGGGGGGTACGTTTTGTTTTCTGTAGTTTTGAGATTTTGAATGATAACATCAAATTTTCACTTTTTCTTAATTATCTTCCTTGAAAGAGGTGTGGCCCTTCATATGCTAATATATTGGGCTTCTTTATCGAAGCTCAAATCGAAGAGGGGGTCAAAATGGCATTGCATATCTTGTGTCTTTATACATACAGTGGGGTAGGATGTTTTGATTCAGGGATTCGTTTGCAACTTATTGATAAAAATTCAGGTGCCATATTCTAACAGCAAAAACATTTTCCAGCACTTAAAACTTGAATTTTTGAAAATATTTTTGTATCTTAGGAGCAAGCCCCTGTGGTAGTATGATGCACAGTTTCCCAAATTTACTAAAACAGCTGAATGGAATATCTCGTTACTTTGTATAAAATGTAGGTTAGGTAATTCAGTCACCTGTATCATTAATATGACCCATTATAG